GGTGAAAACCTCCGGATGCCAATTTTGAGGAAGCGAAACCGAGTTTTCCGGAACCACTTTTGTTTTCTCGTTTTTGGTTTTTGTCCAAACAGTTTTTGCAGAACCAGCGAAACAGACCTCTGAATATCAGAGGTGAAGCAGTTTCACGTCGAGAGATTTGGGCCAATTTGGCTCAAGCTTGAAGCGGAAAAAGGTCAAAGACTGACTTAAGTGAAGGGAGAATTCTAAAGGAATTACTCTTAGAAAAGACTTCAAGCTACCACAGAAACCCGAAACCCGAAACCCGAAACCGGTTTCAAGCGACGAAACCCGAAACCCGAAACCCGAAACCGGTTTCAAGCGACGAAACCCGAAGCCCGAAACCCGAAACCCGAAACCGACAATGAAGTGTAACGTCGACCAGCGAAAATCTGAAACCAGTGGAAGTTAGTTGCAAGCGACGAAACCCGAAACCCGAAACCCAAAACCGACAGCGAAAGTTGGTTTCAAGCGACGAAACCCGAAACCCGAAACGCGAGACCCGAAACCGGAAACCGACAGCGAAAGTTGGTTTCAAGCGACGAAACTCGAAACCCGAAACTGGAAACCCGAAACCGACAGCGAAAGTTGGTTGCAAGCGACGAAACCCGAAACCCGAAAGCCGAAACCCGAAACCGGTTTCAAGCGACGAAACCCGAAACCCGAAACCCGAAACCCGAAACCCGAAACCGGTTTCAAGCGACGAAACCCGAAACCCGAAACCCGAAACTGTTAAAATGATGTACTCCATAAGGGTTGCAGACTGATGTACATCAATAGGGTTGTCCAGGTCGTTGCAGTGCCAGTTTCATTGCTTGTTGGAAATGCACATTCATGTGCATCACTCACTTGATGCGTGGTGAACTACGTTCAAGGTACTGAACTCAGATTGCCATAGTTGTAACTCAGAATGTTTCTCATTCATTGTTTCCAAAAGGGAGAAAGGCAGACTTCACCATTTGCATTCGTGCCAGTTTTCGTTCTTTCCACTTTTTGGGAACTCATGTCAGTGATTTGAAGTTTCAACTTGATGCAGTGGAGTTTTGGTTTTTCACTTTAGTTTGATGCGACACCATTGGATGTCTGATCTCGTGAAGACAGAAGGGTTGCATTGGACGTCAGGATCTCAGATCCAAGTTTTGCCATTTACAGTGCATGGAGTGCGAGATGTCGGTTAGACCAATTTCGTTGATGTCAGTTGCATGTGACCAGAGAAGAACATTGGTAGGTACTCAATGTGTGAGGATGTTGTTGTCATTCACTTCACTTGACTTGATCTTTCGTTCGTTGTTTGCACTTGTAGGAAGTTCACAGTCATTTCATGGCGAATTGATCACTCGACCTGACTCGACTAGGAACCCAACTAGGAACCACAACCAAAGTGTCAAATCGGAACAGTTTTTTTGTGAGTTTTGTGGCTTGCGCTTGTGAAACCTTTTTGGTAGGAAGTTTCTAGGTTTTCTGTTTTGTTTGGAACGAGGAACTCCACTCAGATGTGGACCATCGACACCACCAGTTGAATGAAGCTTCGCATGTTCTAGCATGACTGACGTTTGGTATGACTGGCCGGAGATTTGCTGAAAGCAGTTTTTGTTTCATTTTGAGGAAACGGAAGAAATTTTGGAGTTTTTGATAGAATCAAAATCAAGTGCCGAATCGTGGCACTTGGCTCAAGACTGCTAGCCCAACCGTTTCTGCAGCTTGGAGTGGATTCCACTGAAATTCACCATAGGAGGTGAGATTTGTGTTTCCAAAGAAACGTGGGTGAGCTCTACAGAAAGTCTCTTCCGACTCTGACCTCAGCTTCGAGTCAAAAAGGGATTAAGTGAAAGAAGTTAAGACTTGAAAGAATAGAGAAGGAAAGGTCCGAGAGGACCCTGCCCCGTGCTGCTACCTGTGGTTGACCCGCTTCCACATGGTAGCGGAGCATGGCTACCAGCACAGACGATCCAGGTCCCTCTGGAGTCCCGCAGGACCCTGCAGTCACGACACCTGTGACAGTGATCAGCACTCCTGAAGCTGGTCAGGACTGGTTTGGTCCTCAAGGAGATCTTCGGAATCTGCAGGAAGGACTGGCAGCCTTTGACGAGCAGTTGCGAGAAGGGCGACAGACTCCTGACAGACGCAGAAGATTGGAACAACCCCCTGGACTGACTGGCCAAGCTGGCCCACCCCCGCAGGGAGGTCACCTGATGGACGCAGAGGAGTTGAGGCAGTCCTTACAGAGCATCACAGGAATTCTGCAAGGACTCACCGCGCGGGTACAAGGTTTGGAAGGAGCTCAGCAGAGTTCAACAGCACAAATGCAGCAGGGTCTGGTCACAGTGGACCAGAGACTTCAACTGGTAGAGCAAGCTCGAGCAGCAGGAGTCCCAACAGCAGGAACACCACAAGGTCCTGCACCAGCAGGACACTCCTTTGTCTTTGGAGGAGTCCCACCGCCACCTCCACCAATGCCGAGTCCTGTCAGTCAGGACCCCCTTGGCGCTGGGAAGAGCATGGACACGAAGTGGATTCCAACCATGCCTGTGGCACAGTGGCAGCAGTGGAAGACCAGGACAGCAGAGATTGCCGGCTTTTGGAGCTGGATTGACAGTCTTGCAAGTTGGCTGTCACTCCTTCAAAGCTCGTTTGGTGCAGAGATCAAGGAGGCCTTGGGAAAAACCTCACCGTTGTATGACTCACAACTCTCTCCTGAGCAGGGAGCAAGGGCTCAACGTCTCCAACACCTTCTTCGACAAGCCTTCAGTGGTTTTCACAGAGTGGAGACGATAGCAAGGGCCTTTGAGACTTCGTCCTGCACAGGGGCAACCAACGGCTATGAACTTCTGCGACTCTTGAGAACGGAGTTCAGCGTGCAGACAAGGACAGAAGCGATCTCGCTTCGTCAGGAGTTCCTGAGGACTCACATCAGCAAGTATGACCATCTCCCGGATCTTCTTCGACAGATCGATGTGAAGTTGTTTCAGTACCACCAGCTTGTTGGAACGTATCCCAGGCCATTGGAGGTCAGGGACTTGTATGTGGGAGAGTCGGATCTTTACCTGATGATCCTGCGTGCGTTGCCGAAGGACATCCAGGAGTATGTCAAGCTTCATGCAGGGCAAACGGTTGCAGAGCTCAAAGCTTCTCTTCTTTACCACCATGAAAGGACCCGTGTCGTGAGTGACTTGGGCAAGGTTCATGCCGTTCATGATGACAAAGGTGGTGGAAAGAACAAGGGTAAAGGAAAAGGAAAGCAGAATGACAAAGGAAAAGGAAAGGGGAAGTCACGTCCTTCTTCAGCTGACTCCACCAGGAGTAAAGGAAAAGGCAAGGGTGGCAAAGGCCACAAGGGCTCGAAGGGCTCTGGAAAGTCTTCACCAAGGGCATCGTCTTCAGAGAAAGAGCAGAGGAGACGTGAAGGACTCTGCTACGAGTGTGGAGCAAAGGGGCATTTAGCCCGCGATTGTCCCAAGAAGAACAAGGTGAAAGGCGTCAGCAAGGGTTCGCTGAAGGCGACCTCTGATGATGTCGACTATGGAGAGTCAGAACCAGAAGAAGAACGAATGATGACCTTGACCAGTGTGGTTTTCACAGAAGAGAGAAGCAGGTCTTTGTCGTGCAAAAGAACTACTGAGAGTCATCAGATGGGGCCGCTGGAACAGGGCAATGACCCCCCGGTTGAACAGCACAACCTAGGATCGCTGAATGAATCAGCGATGGCATGGCTCGTTGACAGTGGCGCGACCAGTCACATCGTTTCACGCCGCTTCCTCAATCATTACAAGGTTGTCACCAGGTATCCTCATTTGAAGTGTCAGCTTTCTGCAGCCAATGGTCAGGAAATTCCAAGCGAAGGGATTGCAGACATCGAAGTGAAGTTCAGTTGTTGGGTAGATGGAAAGCAGTCTGTGAAGTCGTTTATTTTAAGCAGGGCAATCATAGCTGAAATTCCGTTTTGCGTTTTGTCACCTTTTGTTTTGCTCAAACATGGATGGTCAGTTCATTTGGGTGATGCAGTTTCGAGCTACCTGAAAGGTGGTAGGCAGGGTGAAGGTGTGAAAGTTCCCCTCACCATCGACAAGCGAGCTTGGTGGGAGTTGGCAAGGGGATCACGGTCGGGATCTCAACACAGACGTCGTTCCAAATCTCAACCGTCAGAAATGGAAGTAGACGCTTGTAGTCATGACACACATGGACCATGTGAAACATCAAACAAACCTGAAACCATGTCAAACAACACTCAGGAGTCCGGAGCTCAGCTGAAGTCAATTTTGAGACACACTCCAGTTGCCACACAGCAGGTTGGAGGTCTGAGCTTTTTGGTTAGGACGTTTCATCATGAAGTCAGGCAAGGTGAAAAGGTTGGCAGTGATGTCAGTGACAGATCCATCAGAACGCAACGAACGTCTGGGAGCTCAGAGGGTTTGAAACGTGAAACAGTAGGTCACGCATGGAAACACGAAACATCATGTCATGCATGGGAACTTGAAACATTGTCTCATGAAACTCAATCTCATGGAGTGTCGTCGAATCGTTCAGTAGGATCACGGTATTCAGAAGATTCAGATGATGAGTTTTCCATTTTGTTGCAAGGCAGGTCAGGTGCTTCAAGTTCATGTCAGTCAGTTCACATGTCAACTCCTGAAGAGATCGACAGCAGCGAACCATCAGACGACGAGTTCTATGAGTGTCAAAGCGTCGGAGAGCCCCAGTCAGAGAGCGAAGAATCAGTGTTTCATGGTTTTGGGTCGCATTCTCAGGCAGGTTCAGGATTAGGAGATGGAATCATGGACGGACTTGACATGGACCTCCAGTTTGATATGAAAGAATCTCAAAACCAGGCAGGTCGAGGTGTAGGAAAAGAGTGGATGTCAGATGCAAACCCCCAAAGTTTTGAGACGGAAACTTGTCAGAGACGTTGCAGTGAGTCTTCTTTGAAACCGGTTGCACAACATGTCATGTCAAAGGGTTCACACGGAGTAGGAGGGTTGGCACAGATGTCTTTTGAAACATGTTTTGATGGAGAAGATGATCTGGAACAGCCAGCAGACGATGCTGGAGCAGCGGCAGAGCAAGGCGTCGAAGAGTCGGAACCTGATGCAACAGGTGTGGAACTCTACAATCATGTGGCACAGGGACATCAGCCTTACCTTTCCTCTTGTTTGTCATGTGTGCGAGCGTGTGGAAGAGCACCCGCAAGAAGGTTGAGACATGCACATGGGCCCAGCTCGGTTGGAGCTGATTTCACATTCATGGGAAGTTTGAAGATTTTGGTGATTGTGGTTTTCTGCAGCGGCTTCTTGTCCGCCTTTGTCATGGACCCGCTCAATTCAGAGGCCAACGCAAGGTCAGTCAATCGGTCACTGCGAGAGGCAGGGCTGACCGGGCGCCATGTAGATCTGAATTCGGACGGGGAGGCGACTCTTTTAGCTCTCTTCAGATTGGCTGCGAGAATGGAAACATCACCTGTGACAGGTCTCAGTTATAGCACTTTCGCTCCCGAAAGGTCTCAGTCCAATGGCCGCGTGGAGCGCGCCAATCAAACGGTCAAGGAGCTCACGGCGGCGAATTTATTTTTCCTTGAGGCACAAATTGGCCGAAGAATCCCTCTTGAGTCACCTCTGGTTCCCTTCGCCATTGACTACGCCTGCAAAACCCATAACGCCTTCCATCAGAAACAAGGATCGAGAGCCACTGTCTTGGATCGGATTAGGGGGAGACTCAATACCCCTAAGCCAAGTACGTTGCCATTCGGTTGCCTAGCTCTTGGGAAGGCTGTTTCAAGCAGCGCGATCAGGGAAGAGGAACGCCTCATGCCATTCGTGTATCTCGGACCGCTTCTTAGTACAGGTGGAGGATGCATTGGCATCGCCGCACAGGAAGCAAGGCTTGGGCTTTCAGAAGAAGAGGTGCTCAAGGTCAGAAAATTCCAAACAGCGAGAGCTGTGGTGCCGTGTCAGTGGCCGGTTGCGGACTTAGAGGTTCTTTGTCTACCTGCTCCACAAGGCGTACCACCTCCTGCTGAACCAGCGTTGCCGGTTGATCCAACAGAACCAGAACCTGGAGATGCACCACCAGCAGAAGGTGAGAGACCTAGAGGAGACAAAGCCCCAGTCGTAGTCCCAACCAGCGGTCCACCCAAAGACTGGATCCTCAAGGAAGGGACAACTCCGAACTGCTATGCATGTGAGCAGATCCGCAAGAGTGGCAAAGCACACGGTCGTGTTCATTCCTCAGCCTGTAAGGCACGTTACAAAGCTTGGTTGGAAGAGCAAGCAAGACTGAGAGAGGAAGAAGAGCAGAAAAACAAGAGACCTCGTCTTGAGCAAGAGGTGCAGCCAGCACCATTGCCAGGAGTTTTGCCAGCACCTCCAGCATTGGGCGATGCGCCACCTGGACAAGGTGGTGATGTGAACATGGAAGACCTTGAGCCGGTCCCACCAGGGGACGCAATGGACATTGATGCGCTGATTGATCATCATGTTCGAGAAGTGGAAGATGAATTTCTGGGTCGATCTGATCCCACGCATGTTGGAAGTCAGTTGTTTGTGTCCCATTCATGGAAGTTGAGAGCAGCGACGGATGCTTCAGTCCATTGGTTTCAGTGTCAGTGTTTGGGGCGCACAGTCTGGCAGGCAATTCCCATCCCTATGAGATGCGAAACTTCTGGACAGACGATGGAGCTCAAGAACATCGTTGCAGCGTTTGAAAAAGAGTTTTCCCAGCTCACTCACTTGAAGGTGGGCAAGTGGATCACGGAAGCCGAAGCCAAGAAGTTGTCGCATTCTTTGCAACGAAAGGTTCTGGCCACCAGATGGGTAGTGGTTCAAAAGCCGTCCAAAGTCAGAGCACGCATTGTAGCAAAAGATTTCAGGGCCTGTGGATTGTCTTCTTTGCGAGAAGGACATTACAGTCCGACTGCAAGCTTGGAAGCTCTCAGATTGCTGTTGGCAATGGCGGAAACATACCAGTGGTCTCTTTGCACACTGGATATCTCCACCGCATTTTTGTATGCGGAGTTGGACAAAGAAGAAAGACAGCCTATATGTTTCCCCACTTCTACATTGTCAGCAACAGGAGAACGATTGCATCTCCAATTGGAGAAGGCTTTGTACGGGCTCAGACGGGCCCCATTGGCCTGGTACCGACAGTTGGTTGGAGCATTGGCGTCTTTGGGATTCAAACCAACGTCGGAGTCCACAGTGATGAGGTTTGAGCTCAGTGATCCATCCAAATTTCTTTTGGTTTTGATCTACGTGGACGACCTCCTCATCACCGGTTGCCATGAAACCATACAGTGGGCCACCCAACAATTGGGAAAACAGTTCAGACCAATGTGACAGGAAAGCTCAACGTTGGTGAAGTTGGCGTCATTGAGTTTTTGGGGAGGCAGATCAAGCGTGACAGTGTCAAGGGACACTTGACCCTGGGACTTTCGGCAAGCTATGTGGATGGCATGGAAGAATTGATGGGGATGAATCTCACGCCCTCAAAAGCAGTGCCAAAGCTTGCAGACTTGCTCAAGAAAGAAGATCACGACTTGGATGCTACAGAAGCTACCAAGTTCCGAAGTGTGCTTGGAAAGCTGGCCTGGTTCAGCCTGACCATGCCCAACATGAGCTACCAAGTGAGCCTCCTCTCTTGCTACCAGTCGACTCCGACCAAAGTGGGTTGGCTGATGTTGGTTGAAGTGATTCGTTTTGCAAAGGCATACAAGCACTATAGGCAGGTTTTTGGGTCGACAGGTTCGTCATGGTACTCTCCAGATGATTTGCAGCTTTACGCAGTTTGTGACGCCTCTTGGAGGCTGAAGAGTCAGATGGGTGGTGTGATTTTGTTTGCCGGGAGCATGGTGAAATGCTACAGTCGCCGTATCTCTTCGACATGTTTGTCGTCGGCCGAGTCCGAAACCTTCAGCATAGTGGAGGCTTGCCACGAGAGCATTGGCATTGCGTTGATGGCCGAGACGTTCCTTTGGGGACTACCTGAGAGATCCAGCACTGGCGATTTTGTTCGCACCTCCGGCACCATGACCACCAACATCAAAACCGACAGCGAAGCAGCAAAGTCCATTGGAGGCATGTTCATGACGCTTCTCAGACGAGTTCGTCATTTGGAACTGAGAGTCTATCGACTCCAAGAACTGGTTTCCTTAGGCAGAATCCTGTTGGAATATATACAGGGCGCAATCAATCCATCAGACTCGCTCACAAAAGACAGCGACCAGGCGCATATGGAGTTGTTGTTGGAGTGTTTGGGCCTTGAGGAAGATGCGAAGGAGGTTTCCAGGGTTCGGACGTTCGTTGAATACGCCTTGGATGGGTTCGACTTGCTTAGCGGACAACATAAGCGCAGAGCAGTCACCGCTTTGGAACGAGGATTGAGCCTGTTGGGAATCGGAGGTTCTCAAAGAGAGAATGTGGGGACTGGAATCGATCCAGAAGTGACACACCCTACATGGGCTCATCAGGTAGGTGTTTTGCCGCGACCACAGAAACATGTTCACTTTTCAGATGCAGTTGAAAGGGTTGAATTTGATGTGGACGAAAGCGTATCGGCCTTCAGAGCTATCCCAAAATCATGGGATCGAGTTATGAAACGTCACCCAGTTTTGGAAACACTCCGCAAACCTTTGCAGATGTTTGGCCGTGGAGTTGAGCCACTTGTGATTGAGTTGTGTTGCGAACCTGAATCAGGTGTCAGGCAGGCCTGTGAGTTTCTCAAAATACCGTATGTAGGTGTCACTAGGGCGATTGATCTCGGAAATGCTCAAACAATCCAGTTGATTCGAGGAGTTTTGGAAAGAAAAGGGTCAGTTGGAGTTTGGATTTCATCGCCGTGCGCTGCTGGCTGCCGATACCGCTTCATCAACAACAGAACTCAGTCCGGGTTGCTCAAATGGCGAGGCAGGTACAATGAACATAGGGCCATTTGGTTGTCTTTGCGTCGAATTTTCCAAGAGAGAGCAGACAAAGCAAGTTTGATGATTGGGCAAGAATGGCCAGAGTACTGCGATTTGTTTGGATGTGCCACATACAAGAAAACGGCTGAGTTGATGCACTTGAAACATCGGTCTTTTGTGTGTCGCATGTGTTTGGACGGAATCTTTAAGAAATGGGAAGTTCGTAGCAACTCAGAGAAACTGAGCCGCTTCTTGGGCACACCAGCCTGTGCCTGTGTACGACCGCCTGGACCTCGGATGGTATCTTTGAAGAAATCTGGGGAATACTCATTTGAAGTTGGAAGATTCTTTGTGGAAGGGTTTTTGCAATGCACTAGGAACTGAGTTGTTTCGTCACCAGTTGCTGTGTTTTTGTTTGGACCGTTTTGCATGTCAGGCAATGAGGTTCACAGGTCAGATGTTTTGCAGTTTCAACTTGTCATGTGTGAAACGCATTGAAACGTGAAACAGAAGAAACACCCAAAACAACAGTGTTTTCTTTTTCGTGCGTTGGAACTTTGTCAGAGTCAGCGCCTCAGATGCCAGTCCAAGTTCTTTAGAAATCCTTTCGCGATGTGGAAACATGTTCACTCTCTAGTTTTTCTCAGTTTGGTTTGGTAGGTGATTTCAGTTGCTTGAATTTGAAACGTCAGGCATTTGGAGTAGTGCAGCATTCCAGTTTTGTCTGTAGCGACTGATTTGAGACGTTTTGCAGAGAGTTGAACAAATGCGCAGAACCTGTGTTGTCAGGGGTAGGTGCAGAGGATTTGGAACTGGGACAGGGCAAGTTTGTTTGCAGAGACCATTTGAAGAATTTGAGAGTTGCAAACACGGCTGCATCAGAGACATGGTTTGTCGGATGTAGGAATCGTTTTGCATCAGATGGAAATTGCGTTTTTGTGTACATGAACGTTTTTGGAGATACTCAGATGAAAAGCTGAGATTTCTGCGTCTTTTGCCAGCGTGGGCTCGAAAGGAATGCCCCACGCTTTCCACAACGGAACTGGGAACTGTGAGACGTGCAGATTCCTGGCCAAGTTAGCCATGAACCCCAAAGGGGCTGATGCGAGCAGCTCGAACTCAAGCGAAGACTTGAGCCGCAGTCGAGACGTGCCGCAGCCAGCTGAGAGGGAAAGCTCCCAGCTACCGGAAGCGATGGAGGCTGAGATGGCTGTGGTTCCATGGGGTCCCATGGTAGGAGGATACCCAGAACCGGCAACCTCCATTCCGACAGTGGAAGAGATACTCCAGTCCACAGGGACACTGGGTGAGAGCTACCCTGAGGGAGTCAAGTCAGACTCAGACGGGGACTTCCCAGTCAAGTCAGACTCAGATGGGGACATCCCACCTGAAGACCCTGAGATGTGAGCCTCAGACCGGGACGTCCCACCTGAGGACCCTGCGATGTGGGTTCGCAGAGAGAACCCGCAGCCTTCAGGAGGCACGGCAGCAGCTGCTGAAGTGGAGCAGCACAGGGTACGAGCTGCTTGGCTGAGGATTTCGGGATCCCCAGAGGTGATGGAAGAGTTCAGAAAAGAACTCGCACGTCGCGAGCCAAAGGCGACAGTGTTCGAGCCAGCAGTGGTGCTGGGAAATGGAAATGGAACAAGAGTCCATCGAATGGACTGCAGTTTGCTCAGTCCGAGCAAGAGGCACACGCACTTGCTGTGTCCAGAGTGCACAAGTGAGATGAAGAGTTCGGATGAGAGGTTGGTCTGCGACAACCACCAGACCATCCACAGTACGCTGAGCTGCAAGAAGCTCCAGCGTACGGCAGCGTCCAAGCTGCTGTCTTGGTGCAATGTGTGCCACTTCAGTGGATTAGGTTCAGCGTCGAACCTGGGCCCCCTCGCCAGCAGCAGCTCTGTGGAAACCCCATTTCCCTCTCCGGAATGGGAACCAATGGACGCGGCGATCGAAGCTGCGAGGTTAGAGGGCCTCGCACGTGGGTCAGAAGATGGAGAGTCTGAGGGCTCGTGGACAGAGGATGAAGCGGCGTCCGATCCGCCGTCTGAGGATGGAGATGGCAGTGAGAGGGATGCCGCACCTTTTGAGATCTAGTCGAGATCTGTGCAGTAGATCTGAGAAGGCTGGTGAAGGCAGCACAGATGCTATTCACTTTTTGGCCACGCTTTTCCCTTAGTGCAGACGTTTGCAGCTTAGCACATCGACGCAGTGATGGTGCAAAAATGGAGCTATGGAGACATTTTTGGATGTTGTCTGAAACGCCCAGTCCAAGAGGGGGTGTTAAAATGATGTACTCCATAAGGGTTGCAGACTGATGTACATCAATAGGGTTGTCCAGGTCGTTGCAGTGCCAGTTTCATTGCTTGTTGGAAATGCACATTCATGTGCATCACTCACTTGATGCGTGGTGAACTACGTTCAAGGTACTGAACTCAGATTGCCATAGTTGTAACTCAGAATGTTTCTCATTCATTGTTTCCAAAAGGGAGAAAGGCAGACTTCACCATTTGCATTCGTGCCAGTTTTCGTTCTTTCCACTTTTTGGGAACTCATGTCAGTGATTTGAAGTTTCAACTTGATGCAGTGGAGTTTTGGTTTTTCACTTTAGTTTGATGCGACACCATTGGATGTCTGATCTCGTGAAGACAGAAGGGTTGCATTGGACGTCAGGATCTCAGATCCAAGTTTTGCCATTTACAGTGCATGGAGTGCGAGATGTCGGTTAGACCAATTTCGTTGATGTCAGTTGCATGTGACCAGAGAAGAACATTGGTAGGTACTCAATGTGTGAGGATGTTGTTGTCATTCACTTCACTTGACTTGATCTTTCGTTCGTTGTTTGCACTTGTAGGAAGTTCACAGTCATTTCATGGCGAATTGATCACTCGACCTGACTCGACTAGGAACCCAACTAGGAACCACAACCAAAGTGTCAAATCGGAACAGTTTTTTTGTGAGTTTTGTGGCTTGCGCTTGTGAAACCTTTTTGGTAGGAAGTTTCTAGGTTTTCTGTTTTGTTTGGAACGAGGAACTCCACTCAGATGTGGACCATCGACACCACCAGTTGAATGAAGCTTCGCATGTTCTAGCATGACTGACGTTTGGTATGACTGGCCGGAGATTTGCTGAAAGCAGTTTTTGTTTCATTTTGAGGAAACGGAAGAAATTTTGGAGTTTTTGATAGAATCAAAATCAAGTGCCGAATCGTGGCACTTGGCTCAAGACTGCTAGCCCAACCGTTTCTGCAGCTTGGAGTGGATTCCACTGAAATTCACCATAGGAGGTGAGATTTGTGTTTCCAAAGAAACGTGGGTGAGCTCTACAGAAAGTCTCTTCCGACTCTGACCTCAGCTTCGAGTCAAAAAGGGATTAAGTGAAAGAAGTTAAGACTTGAAAGAATAGAGAAGGAAAGGTCCGAGAGGACCCTGCCCCGTGCTGCTACCTGTGGTTGACCCGCTTCCACAGAAACCCGAAACCCGAAACCCGAAACCGGTTTCAAGCGACGAAACCCGAAACCCGAAACCCGAAACCCGAAACCGACTCGAATCCGACTTTCGCGGAGGCTCTCCGGATCGGAACTCCCCCAAGTTGTGGGGATAGGTTGGGAACCTGACCAAAACAAAGAGTTACGGGACAACTATGAATCTGCAGCAGACATGCTGTTCTTGAAGGTTTGAACAGTTTTCTTTGATCGGAAATGAACTTTGTTTTTGTAAGCTTGGGGTGCAAACTCAAGTTGCACGCCAGGGAAGCATGGTCTGTGTCAAGTCACATGTTCATTTCTGATTTTGAGGCCGATTAGCACTCAGGTCGGTACTTCTGACATCAGGATGGGGGCTAACCCCTTTCAAAGTGGCAGTGGCGTAGAGGGCAGCGTCAAAATTTGAAGGCAAATGAGCAGAAGATGGCTTCAAAATACGGAACATCATACATAGTAATACATAGTAAACTGTTAAACTGCACACTATCTTTCAAAATGAGTGATCAACTACCAATGGTTTCCCCTGAAATCTGCGACTAACATAGTAAACTACCAGTGATCACTACCTTTATCGATCATAGTTAATATCTATGATAGCAGTAAATAGCTATAACATAACATGCAGTTAAGCTATAATAGCAGTACCAAAACCCACAATTAATAGCTACAATAGCAGTAAACCCACTATAGTCTCCTCTTGGCAGTTCCTAGGGCAGCATGGCCTCTGGGCACGGCAACTCCTGCTGAGAGCAACACCTCTTGGTACGCTGCACTCAGAGTACCAGAGAAAGGGAGAGGTACCAGAATATCATTAGTACTGATTTGGCACTGATTATCTTGATTATATCAATGATAAATACGAACGGTACTGATTATCATCGATTTCTTCTGGATTTGCGTTGAATTTCGGGATCTACGAATGGTACTGATTATAGAGCTGATGATCAATTCCAAGTATCAGATAGGAGATCATAATTCCATCCCCCTGATATGAAATGTGGGGTTCACGATCCAAAATGGTGATTCGAGCACCAAGTGCTGGGATGAAGCACCAAGATTTACACGAAGCTGACATCACCCCAAGAGGGTCCAAAATGAATGGATCCAATAGATCTATACATTTCACCAGGCTTTCGAGGGTGGGATTCGAGTTTTGGGTTTGTGGATTACTGAAGTGTGCCGAAAGCGTGCCGAATGCATCGACGAACACGAGAGGTTTTGCCATTTGAGTTTTTGACTAAGGCTGCCTCATTTCGCATTTGGTTTTTGCCAAAAACATCGTGAAGGGGGAACTCTGGCTGGGGCGCCACATCGGTTATATACCCTCTTGTTGTTTAACATAGCTCTGGAACGTGGCCCATTTATGGATTGATAAGAATGATGATTTTCCTCTCAAACATGCCGATTTTCCAGTTGGTTACGTTCACCCTCTGGTTAATCATGACAAATCGCCAGTCAAGAGTGACTCTTGTCGTATCCCCCGGTAGGTCAAAACCCAGCTGGTCACAACATCAACTGCTCAGCCATCGGTTGAGTATGATGGGATCATCGGGATCTCGCCGCGAAATCGCCGTCGTAGGCCTCTTGGCTTTCAGCCTCCTCGACTTGGATCCTGGATGATGGACCCGCAGGGGAGGCCGATCCTGTTTTCGACGGAATGCGGACATTTCATGAAGATTTTTCGGACATCTCATGGACATATCAATGGGGTCCTGGGGATATAGAAATCTCATGGAGATATCTTTCTGACATATTGCCGGGGCAGATCAGCATTGGGGGATCATGCCAGCAAGTGGTATGTGGTTACTATGGATTACCCTCTGGTAGTTTAAGAGTTCGCGAACTGGAACATCACCATTTTTACGAGGTAAATCATCTATAAATGGCCATGATCTATAGCAGACTGTTAACTTCCCAGAGGGTATTGACCACCTGGATGACTGGATGGGATAGCCGCAGTTGGAGGACTGCGGGACCATGTACCACACAGCAAGTTGGAAGTGGGGAACACGAACGCCGAACGCCCGCCGGAACACGAACGCGGAAGATTCCAGTGGACCTGAACTGGGACTGTGAAACACAGTGTTTCCAAGTTTTTTCCCCAACGAAATGGCTTCCTCAGCATTGAAAGATGTAGAGATGAAGGTATGGCTCAAGATCAATCGCAGCATCGGTCCCCTGTTGCTTTGGTAGCAATCCATCCGTTTCGGGGTTCATTCATTTTCACGAAAGCTAGCGTCAGCTCGCTAGAGTCTTCTTGCTTTAGCAAGTCTTCCGGGGCTCCCCAAGGACATCACGTGATTTTTCACGCGAAAGGGCCCCCCCCCTGCCCCCACCCCCATATATATCATTGTTATATATCATATATCATATATCATTGTTGCATCCTCGTTGGGACCAACAATGCCGCGACACGATGATGACAGTCCCTCCGCAACTCACCTCTTCCCTTCCTTCTTTCTCCTACCCCGCTAGCTTTCGTCATCCACCCCCGGCCTCAAGTGAGCCGTAGCGATCATCGCTGGTCAAACCCATTCTATCCGAGTATTTAGGTTCAAACATTCCCCGTTTCGATGAATGCTTAGTGCTCCAATCCCCAACAATCAATCCATTTCAAACTATTCAGGTATTTGTTGGTGCTATCCCCGTTTTTTTTGTGTTTCAATCTCTCCAAAGCATTGTTTTTTGCTTCCCTTTTGGAGATTTCGGCCCTTTTGGGCTTCAGGCCGCTTGCCTGTTGGGAGTCAGAAACTCAGAGATTTTCTGAAGTGACCCACTGGAGCTTGGTTGCTTCTGGTTGCACCTTCCCAAGAATTGCTGTAACAGGGGCCTCATGCGTTGAGTTCAAGCCCAACATCTATGGGTATCTTCGGGGCTTGAGGATTATCATCGGGGCATGGTTAAACTTCCAAAGATGAATGGAGCTAAGACTGTCATGCTGCTTGGGGAGACATTAATGGTATTAATGCAAGCTCGATGAACCAAAATGGGTATAGATGGAGACAGTATTTATAAACCAAGTTAAACATATCTTTTATGTGGCTTAACGGTGGCCAACAAAAGTGTTATCAACCCCCAGCAACACATCATTTCCTGCGATCATGCACCAGACATCAACGGATGGAACATTTTTCGAAATGGGGCCGGGAGAGCTAAAACTTCGGAGATGAACGCCCCAGATCAATGTGTTGTGTATGACATATTATGACATATTATGACGTCAAGACATACCGTTATTTTTGTAGCGTACACAATAGTGATACTCGTACTTAGTAATGTTAATATGTCGATACTGATCGTGGTTATGTATCGTTGATGGTTCTTGACCAAAATTCGGCTCGAAGGACCCGAAGCTGCAGGTCCATCCAGGTTTGTTTTCAGCATCAAATTTGCTTGTTTTTCTTCCAAACAGCAGACCAAAACAAACTACCCTCTGGTAAACTAACAAAACTATGGACAATCTCAATTTTTAATGGGTCAATCAACTATAAATGGCCATTTTTAATAGCTAATTGTGTTAAATTACCCAAAAAAGTATAATGTGAGTAAAGCAATAGTATCCAGCATCCCTAATTTTAGGCCATAAATGGGTGGTACATGGATGGTTTCTAAAATTTCACTGACATTACACCTATTCTATCAAGTCATTGTGTAGCCATGCCCATCTGCTTCCTCAAAGTCAAACCCCTTGACGCAAGGACCACAGCGCTTCATGACCATGCCAAGGGTTGGCCGGGCCTATGTTTGGAGACCTAAACGTGATACCGAGCAGTGGAAGTTGCTGGGAATTTGGGGAATTTGGGGACGATGGATTTTGATCCTCAGCATTTGTGGTCTAAAAATTGATGCATTTCGACTTCCACGGAGTTCATTAATGCAATCTGGCATGACTGTCTTTACAGGGGTGAAACGGCCTTTTTGGTGGCACGGACGAATTCCTTGATACATGTGTCTATTGAACCAGATTTTAACTACCAATAGAATCAATAGACACATTCCCTTTGGACACAGGAAATGTCTCACATTCAGATCAATGTCACATGGCGAGCTCGTCGTTTTGAACAGTGAGCTGACGGTGCTAAAGTGGATGGATGCTTTAATTACCAATTCTCTTTTCTCATGACCTGAATTGAATTTGAAGAGAACCCCAACTGCAGCGGTTTGGGTTCAAGCCTCCCAAGCTGAGAAAACCATTTCCGCGTGCCACGAGCGTGACTCCGCGACATTGGTCCGGGACCCAGCTATTTCCGAAGTGGACCGGTCAGGCAGCCCAAAGCCTGGTTGATTCGGGATGACAGTCCATCATGAGAATACTTGGTTGGCCAGTGGTTGTGGTCAAACTGAGGTAGACATGGCTCTCGTGTTCCTCTTGCGGCTGGTTGCTGGTTTCAGCATCTTTCTTTTGTCACTTTCATCCCTCTCTCAAAGCCGTTTGTCATCCCAAACAATTTAGCTCTACAGTTCTCGTGTGGAACTTGCCCATTGAGGCATATGATTCACTCCCAACAATTTAAAAAGATCCTGTTCAATTCCTATTCGAAGTACATTTCTTAATTTCAACAATCAATTACCCTCTGGTTATTTAACAGTTCGCCATGGTATAGATGGCCCATAGAAATAGAGGTTTAGCTATGAAGAGCATGGTGGATCTTTCCATGGCTGGCCCTGTGAATGTCATAACCAGATGGTAAGGATCGACTTCCAGGATCCATTTTTTCTCCCAGGTACTGCTGCTTCTCCGCTGCTGCACTTGCGGGGCTAAGCCCGGGGCTAAGCCCGGCGGTGCATGTGCTGAGTGAGGAGCCGCGCATCGAGCTCCGCCCAAAGTTCCTGCGAGAGGAGGAGATGGCGGCCATCCAAAAGTTGGCCGAGGAGGAGATGTTCAAGGACTACTATGGAGGGGTCGGATGATGGTGAAGCTGGAAAAATGGACCCATGGTTCCATTCCCGGAATGGTTGTAAGCCTAGCGGATTTTTGTGGATGAGTGGATTACTTATCCCACTGAAAAAACCAGGGATACAAGCTACTTCGGATTTATGTGATGAGCCACCAAGTACTAAAGACAGACCCGTGAGAATGCACGAGACGGGGAGCCACCAAACTGTCAGGACCTGTCGGACCCTGAGACTGGCAGCAGTGCTTCTACAGAGGTGGCGGGGGGCGAGGAGATCTCGACTTTAAACATTTCGGACCCCGACGTGGACACCGAAGATGCGTTGGAGTGGGATGTCTTGCAGGATGTGATTCACAGGAGCAAGGCAGTCACTGGAAAAGACTTTGAAGACGTTTTTTTTTCATTTTTTTTCCATTGAACAAATGGGGATGGGTCAAAACCCTGGTACCTTCTGTTCACCCAAAATAGCTGGGATTTATGGATGTTCATCCCACTATATAGTAATGGTATTTTTATAGGTATTGATCCCCAAATGGCTCCTGACAGATCTGACCATCGGTAGCCAGGTCCTCTCCACCGAGCCCCTGACGGCCTTCGGTGCCCACGTGGTGCGCTGGGAGCCATGGCACCGCCTGTCGCGGCTGAACCGTTCCGGGCCCCTGCACCTGGATGCTCGGCTGCACCCGGAGAGGCGACACAGCGTGCTGCTTTTCCTGAGTGGAACAGGGAAGGCGAAGGATGGCGCCACGGTGTGGCTTGGCTGGTAGAGATATTAGTAGAACTTGGGGGAAAAAACAGGTGATGGGATAGAGATTTATAGATTGTTTGCTTTTGGATGAGGTTTTTTTTGGGGGGTTTGGGCGTGGGTGTTTGGCGAAGGGTTTCTTGTGGCCAGAAGTCAGTACTGTAGTCAGTTGGCATGATTTTGTGGTTTCAAAAGATATTGGCCGTTTGGCCCATTTCATTTTGCCTCGCCATGGAACGGCTTTCTGTTGACTTTCCCGCGAAGTTTCCCAGGTTCCCATGCATCGAAACGGAGGACATGGAGCCCAAGGAAGTGAAGCGGCGCCAGAAGCTCTGCTCCCGTGCCCTACGCCACTTGCAGCGCGCACACGAGAAGCTGATGGCGCTGCGTGCCCAGGGGATGGAGCTGCCACCTTCCAAACAGTATCAGTTCCTGGAGGATCATCCGGAACTCTCTGGCCTCCCCAGGGAGATGCTTGAACTGCACATGATATATGTACTGTTGCCCTCTGGTAATTTAACATAGCTAGTGAAAATGGCCATGATTTTCCATAGTTATGTTAGTTTACCAGAGGGTATATTATACGTTATATTTATGTCTATATTTCTTCATTGGTAAATCTACCATTTTGGAAATCAACTGGGAATATGTCGCAACATCCAAGGCTCCCAGATGGCACCCGGCCCGTGAACTACTTGTGGCTCCCAAGTCATGATGCTGTCGCCACAGATGAGGCTCTTGCACCGTTGAGCCTGCGGGCTGAGCCCTTGCATGCCTTGGCGGAAGCCATGTGTCGTGGGAAGGCCTTGGGCTTGAAAGTCGCCTCCAAAAGAGGTGATGCCTTGTTCATGGATGTGATGGACACTGAGGGCCGTGAGGTGAAGGCTGATTGGCGCCTGTGGCATGCTGGATGCAGCCCTTTGGAACCAGATCAAAGGCTGACTGCTCAAATCTTCCTTGAAACTGACACAACAAACTCATCGAATTTGGCATGTTGCGACTCCAAGGGTGGCACATGTGCAGAGAGCTGCAGGTCCCACAAGATGACCAACTAGCTAACAGCAACTAGCAGCAACTAGCAGCTAGTTTGAGACGATCTGCCTGGGGTGATGGCATCGTTCTCATAGACCAGTCTTAGATGACAGCATTCGCGAGGCAAAAGTGTTTTGGACTGCTGAAGTCAGTGGTATGGGATTTTGGAAAGCACCTGCGAAGCACAAAGAACTCCATTTTTTTGGCATATGGGGGTGGGTCAAAACCTATTATTATCAATTCTAATGGGATGAACATCCATTTACCAGCTATTTTGGGGTTCACTAGGTGCCAGGGTTTTGACCAATAGCCATATCTTCTCCAAAAAAAAGCCCCCTACAGTCTGGGCCTGAGGTCTGGGGCTCTTCAACAGTGGCCTGGAAAAGATTTCGGATCAGAAGACTTGCAAGGACGCATGTAGCTTGGCCAAGAGCTGGCAAAAAACTTAGGTCGCTGGATGTTGATGGCTTGAAAATCCATACTCCTCCCAGCAAAATCTTGGTACCTCCACGTCTTGAGATTGGTTTCCTTTCTTGTCTGTGCTTGTTTGAAGCAAAACCAAAGTCTAAAGACATCCATGTGCAAGTGCCAGCACTTCAACACTGTTTTGAAGTTAGATTCCTCTTATTTGAGTGGAAACAGTGGAACGTTTGGATTCTTGTGTAAAGACTGGGGAACCTTCCCAGATCCCACGTTCTAAAGACTTAGTATTCTGGCAAATAACTTGATTTCATCACATCACCCATTGTGCCCTTTACAGTTAACCCACTCCATGTGTTTTTGGGTTACCTGGCATTTTTTCTCGTCAAAGAAACGGTAAACAACATTCGCAAATTTGCAGAACTTTGCTGGGTACCGCATCCACAGGATTTTCTTGCCCCTGCATTTGGTGGTTCTTTGCTGCATAATTTTGTTGCCGAAGCCCAATGATCTCTGAACAAACTCTGAATACTCTGAAGCACCAGCTTTTGGGGTTGTGCCGCCTCACTCTCGACCGCTGGACATGGAAACGATGGAAACCATCGCCAATTTCGGTCGATGACTTACCCATGAAAAAGTGCAGATTTCCCATGGCATCCCATGGCTATGTTAGTTTACTCTTGGGTAATAACCACCTTTCTAAGGCTATGGAGATTCTCGCTGCAGCGTGTGGCAGTTCAATCTAGTTGATGGCCAGAATTCGTGGGGGAACTGAGAGGATGGCAGGATGGTGCATAGTGTACTGTGACTGGTTAAAAAAACACCGGTGGTTGTGAGTGTCAATGGCTTGATTTTCTTGGGAAAATCTTCACCCGAAACCATATGGTTTTTACCACTGAGCCACTGATTCTAGGGTTTCCGGGTTTCAAATTTCCCATCATCTGATTCTGGGAAAGTGTGGAGTTGTCCTTTTCCCTCCTCTGGTAAAAATGGCTGAAAATGGCCCATAGAAAGTTCGATGATTTCCGTATTAAACAAGGTGATTTTCAATAGCTATGTTAAATTATAAATTAGCAGAGGGTATATCTGAATATTGTGAATGGGCTAACAATGGTAACTTTGCTAGGTAACACGAGGCTTTTTTCTGGATATGTTTAAATGGCAAGAAAAAGAAGTCGCAAGGTGACGGTGGCCCCCGTGCGACATCTGAAGAGGTAAAAATTTGGGTGGCTGAATGGATCAATGGGTTGGTCTTCAGCCAGAAATCCTGGAAGATACTACCGAAACTACAAAGTAATTGTTTTTCAGATGGGGTAATGGATGGAAAGTTGACGAGACTAGGAGATCAGATTACTTTAGAAACTGAGTACAACTGAGTACTCAGAAAGTTGTCCCCCACATTTTGGGAGAGCCTCTCGGGAGAGCATGTCAACAGTTCGCAGCTTGGCCTTTTTGTGCTCAACTTCAGCCACTCGGTGGGACGTGGCTTCAAAAAGTACAGCCGCGCAGCCTGCATCTTGAGGATTTTTCAGATCAGTTGGTTTATTTATAAAGCCCATGAAAAACTCTAGTTATATCATAGTTATATCATGTTATATCTACGAAACAAAACATAAAAAACCATAGAATTCAGCATATTCAGCCAGAATACCAGTCGTCGGTTTTTTTTCCAATCTGACTCCTTTCTCAATCCCAAGATTCCGGATGACCCAACTGCTTCGACTTTCAAACGGAGCCCACAGGATGGGGCCCCAAGTCGAGCGATAGCGTTCAGTTAAGATATGGCTGCTGAATTCTATGGTTTACAGTAGATATAACATGATATAACTAGAGTTTTCATGGGGTTTATAAACCAACTAACATAAGTTATAACTGGGGGGCACCATTCTGTAACAAGTGATATGTTTTTCCAACATCTGGTGGTTTCTTGACCTCAGATGTTCCACGTTGCGTCCCTCGCTACGCCATGTCCTCCAGTGCCGCCATGTCCTCCGCTGGTGCCCACGCTCGGGGTCGCTGTGCGCAATGCAGCGCGCCCCGCGCGGCCGCGCAGGGCCTGGGTGCTGCCGGCGCTGGGTGTGGTGCGGGGGGTGGGACGAGTGCGGATGCGAGCAGAGGCGGCGTTCGGGGGCCTTCTGGTTGCTGGGAAAAAGACATCAAGTCAAAAGTGCTGTTTTATGATGTTTGATGTGAATCATGTTGGATTTTGGTTGACTTGAACAGAAATGAGGGTTTTGAGGATGACTGGTTCGTAACCGGAATATTTCACCATGAACACTTGAGGGATTTCACCAATGATGGGGATAGAATTGGGAATGACACTTGGTAGAAAAGACTGCAAACTGTTTGACTTCGAAAAACCAATGGTTGGGGATGCTCTTTCTTCAAAAAACACCATCATGAATTCCAAACGACGCGCTGGGATACATCATGAAGTTGGCAGGTGAATGACGAAGAACAACGTTTTTTGGAACTGATGCGTGTGCCGGACTGGGGGACAACGGATGACAAAAAATCCCCGTATCATGGTTCTGAAAAACCACCATTTTGGGGTGTCCCATTTACGAATCCCCATTATATATGCATTATATCCCATTGGATCACATTATCATTAGATCCTTCCTAGATCCTAGAACTACACTTGTTTTGTCCCATTAGAGATGTTGATGAAGCAGAAAGACTTGTGCTTTTAGCCTGAACATCTTCGAGGATCTTTTCTACTGAGGGTCTCAAGTCGGCCCAAACCCAGGATCCCAATTTTCGTTATACTCCGACAAGTTGTCTCAAGGGGCTTCAACATCAAAGTGATTGGGTGGTGGTTGATTTTCCAACATTAGTTTTTGAAACAGCTTAAAGTCCCATTTTGGTTGGCAAGAATCATAAAGAATCTTGAATCAAGTGGTATGTATATATATATGATCTATAATAGTATACATATATATGATCTATAATAGTATATATATATAGCTCGGACGGATTGTGAGCAACTGTGCACGGCGTGAGCAGTGCAGCAGTGGCCAAGGTCAGTGTCAACAGTCAGCTTTGTACACACGTCAAGGGTGGCTGCAAGAGTTTGCCCGCAGCCACCTTCCATGAATCTTCCACGGACCGTTGCAGAACGTTAACGTGTAGCCATGGCCTTTAGCGGGTAGAGCTTGTGGCTCAGGACGCCGGCAAAAGGCTTGAACATAATTTCTGCCAGACAGGTGCTAGCGGTGATGCCGTGCTGCGCGGGCTGTGCCGTGCAGGATCTAAATAAACACTAGG